TATTTTATTTTCATTATCCTACTCAAATATTTGATTGTTTGTTTATTCTTTATTTCTTCCATAAATATGGAGTTAAACAAATATAAATGATTTACAAGGTTTATAACATATAACATAACAGGATTTTATGATCCAGTTCAAATCTTCCTTAGATTACGCAGGGGTCATTTTTCAAAAGATTTTTTTTATATTTAAAACATTTTGTACGATTTCAACTGAAAAATAAGACCAAAATGGACTACAAACTCACAGTGGGTGGTATAACTCATTAAACACTGTTTAATTTTTTTTAGATTTATTGTTAAAGTCTAACGATTTAAATTAGTTGATATTCGTTATGATAACATCATTGACTAAGGTAGATACCAATGCTTTTTGACACTCAACTTTTTGGCAATTAAAAGTCCCTGCCTGCATTTAGTAGTCATATATTGTCATATGCATAATTTTGAAACCATATCCTAATTATTTCACAAACCCTTTGTTGATTCTGCAATAGTTTCCAATTTGTAAACAGCATTTAACCTTTTTTGGAACTTTTTTGAAATTTCCAAAATGGCTGCCATGTGATTCCAGAATTAACATGAGTGTGACGTGACATCACAGTTGCTCGTTCCTAGGTAACAACAAGATCAGAATTGCTCGTTTCTGATGAACACCCTTAAAATCCGATTTTCAAAGAATATATTTGGAGAAACATTAAAAGGTAAGTGGAATAAATTAGAAGATGGTTTCAAGTTACCACAGAAGTCAATTTGAAACTCAAGAATGCTTTCTTTGACTCATAATCACAAAAAAAGTCGAGTGACTTTTTAGATGTCGAAAATCTTAGTTATTAATTGAGCATCATACAACTTAACAGTTTTTTTTATTAATTTGAGATTTCAGCAGAAGTCTAATTTACAAATCATCAATTATAAAAAACATTATTACAAAAATATATAAAAAATGATAAATTATTTTAGAAAAATACTAAGAAAATCCTTGGCATTGACCTTCGAAGGGAGGTTAAGCCTTACAAAGTTCACATCGTGTTTTGATTTTTGTTTATATTGATCTAACATCGGGATATTATCATATTTCAAAATATGATGATATTTTCATGTTAAGTCAATTTTACACTTATTACTGTTTTTTTCTCCTGATGACCATTGTGAATTATTGTGTTTTATGGATTATGGCGACGGCTTTTGTGAATAGATGTTGACCCTTTGAAACGCCTATGGACTTGGAGACTGGATTGTATCTATCCCACATCATTTGAGACTGAATGCTCTTTCTTGTATGAGTACTTGTATCTACAACTTTTTTTGATGTTATGAGTATTGACTATCAATTTCTAATTTCTAATTTCTATAATTGTAATGACTTCAGTATGAATGAAATGTCCCTTGGTGTTCTGGTCTTGGATTGTAATATCGGCTATTGAATGGTGGGGGAAAGGGGGCATTAGACATTGTTTCTTTTCACGTTAGATCATGGTTTTGGGATATATGGGGTTTGTTTTTCTTGACTGGTATGCACTTAGAGTTTACTTTTTCTTGCTAAGTTCCATTACAACTTTTGGTCCTTTCCCTTTGGCACGTGTGCTTAGATATTTATAGAAAATTCGAAATGACATACATTGGATTTATAACTTATTTATGATGATACTAGCTTGTTAGATCCTTTTACCAATACTTTAATTGTAAGTAACAATATAATAAAATTCAGAATTGATTTAATTCAATTGTTTTCGGTGGGTTACTGTTTGGTAATTTCTTGAGACTTTTTGTGTTTGAGATGATAAAAAAACAAAAAAGTAATAAATTCCACTATTTTCTGGTAATATAAGTGTGAACAACATATTAATCTTTATAAAAAATCATATAAAAATGATTACAAGCTAGAAAGATACTTAATATAAGTGTGAACAACATATTAATCTATCTTTAAAATGGCCAGGGTTAGATTAGCAAACCATAATTTAAGAATTGAAACAGGAAGACACGAGAAAAAGAAAAAAGATGGCACTAAAAAGAATCGACTTAAAATAAAAGAAGTAGACTGAGGATAAAGGCCAAATTCTCCTCAATAAGGTGCAATTGGGTATATATACCGTCGCTATTAAAAACATAACCTCTACTCTGAATAACCTTTATTTCCCCTGAATTACTGGTTTATAATTATTTACTGATACACGTGAGCTTTTTTATGTTGAAGTGTAACAAGATACTGTAGTATGAGTTTCAATATCAGCGATATATATTAAGAGATGAATGCTTTTCTTTATAAAAGGAAACTATGTTGTAAATCACCTTAACATTGCTACTGAACTTTTATATTCTTAAACACACATTTTTTATGAATTTTTTGTCTATTAAAAGTTCCTAGGATTTCATCCTTTCAGTATGACAAATAAAGGTGAACTCAATTCCCTCGCAACATGACAGTAAAAATCCATGCGGTAGTAAAGCTGAACTGATTCGTTCCTTAGGAAAAGTAGGATTCAGCAAGCAACCTTTCCTTAAATTGTTTAAATATAAAATATTTTGCTTATTTCATTCAAACTGACTGAAATGGGTTCTTGGACAAAAAAACATTATGGTTCCTTAAGTAATATGAGTCGGTAGGCGTAGTAGACAAAAAGGAATGTTTAAATGTTTACAATATTTTTCATTTTGTGATACTAAAATTATCTCAAGGATATGTGTGTTCAGAATAGTGTCCATAAGTTCGAATGACGAATTTCACGAAAATCATTATCTATTCCGCCAAACCTCCAGAGTCAAGGATGCCTCGTCAGATGAGTGGGAGTTTGATCTTGTCGACCCATCTTCAACTTGTTAGTGATGGTATCCTTGACAGGATTCGAGGTGTGACTGAGGACATTATCATCATAATAAGTTTAGTAGCTAGAGTCCCTTGACTCTCCACGTGTTACTCCTTCACAAAAAGAAAATGGACACTGCCATTCACAGATCAACCAATATATAGGGCACTATGATGTCATCAATGCTGCCATGAATCAATGCCTGTCAACAGAGAGACCTATTCATTATAAGTTAGGATTTAAATGTATGAATAGTGTAGGTATAGTCAGTGAAATGTCAGCCAAATTAACAAAAAAACGAAAAAATGTATTAACAGTACTTTTAAGAACTATCTTATTTACTGAAAATTCCCCAATATTGCATTTCAAGAAAATTAAAGATGTTTGCCGGAATGAACGTTTTAATGGTTTCCTAGTTTTAAAACTCCGATAGACTCCTGGGTGAGAGAGGGACCCCCCCCCCCCCCCCATGAGAGTCCCAGACTTTGAGATCAGAATTTGTATTCCAAGTAATGAAAGATTTCGGAATGGGAATTACGGTCTCATATGGACTTTTAAACCTAGAATTGATTATCAATACACTTTCAACCGGACTATGACACCTAGGATCTATAGTCTGTATATGGTAGAGAATTATGTTACACCAGCTCTACAGGCAAAAGATGAAAAACAAATAAATGATGTAATGTAACACTTTTATTTTATTTTTCTCCCGCTAGAAATACAAATAGTCAGTTATAAAGTCTATGAATGTCCAGTTATTGGTAAAATTGTTTTAATAACAACCATCCACTGTTTTTAGAACGTGTCCACTTTTTCCATTTAGGTTGTAAATCCAAGATCTCCTTTCAAATCCCCTCAAACCTACTCCTTTTCCCCATTTCTGTCATGGCGTCTCAGATTTCGTACCAAAACCATGGACCCTACAGCTACTTATTTACAAGTTTTGTTTCCACTATTTAAAAAGATATATCATTAACTCGAACAAATAAATACATATTGTATCCAATTCAAGCATATGCTTTTTCACCCCTATACATCTGATTCTGCCTTATATTAATTTGATGATAAAGAGATAGCTAAGTCATTTTACGATACTTGCATGATCATCTCCAAGTGTTAGTTTTTACTAAGGGGCCCCCGACACCACACTTGTACTGGAGATATGATAAGATCATTCGACTTGAGTTTAGGTGATGTTAGTATTTCAATGTAATCATGCAAATACTTGAATCAAATCGAGGATGAAAACACATACACTCCCCTCCATAAGTTTGGCAACCTTAGCTCCCAAATTGAACTACGTGTTAAAGCCTCTTTACGTTTGAATTTTTATTTACTTAACCGGCGATGAAATAACTTATAATATTGATGGAAACGTAACTTGACTTTATTTCCAATATCTCCCAATTTTCTCAGTTTTTTCCTCAATTACAATAGGTCGAAAATTGATGATAAATTTGATGAATTTTTGAAAACCGTCATTCCCATGTAATCCAATGGAAATTGAGGGTTCGGGGCAAATCAAAAATCAGGATATCTTTTCGATAAAAGATTCAGCAAAAATATTTCTATATAGAAAAATGAATTATCTACCATTTTTGTACACTAAGTGTTTAGTTTATTTGATGTATACTAAAGTTATAGCGCTTCAAAGTCATTTTTGAAAATAATTTTAATAATAAAGCCTTATAACTTTGTCGAACCTGAAGAAACATGTCAATTTTTGGTTAAATAAAGTTAGCAAATTCAATTGCCTGTCTATCTCGTATTTTTGCAAGGACTCAGATGAATGAATATTGTGTCATGTGACTTGCAGCAAACCTACCATTTCCATTGGTTAATCGGAATGTCGATTTTCAAAGATTCATCAAATTTATCATAAATTTTCGACTTATTGTAATTGAGGAAAAAATTTAGAACATTTGGAGGTATTCGAAATAAAGTCAAATTACGTTTCCATCAATAGTATTTTCATCGCAGGTTAAGTAAATAAAAATTCAAAGGTAAAGAGGCTTTAAATAACACGTAGTTCAATGGGGGCGGAGCTAAGGTTGACAAACGTATGGAGGGGAGTGTATCTATGCTTAATATTACCGGTGGAATGGGGGTCGAATCGAGAAAGCCCAGATAAAGTATGCATGCCTATTTAATACCAAAGACCTCATAGGTATGTAAACAGTTAATAATTTGTACAAGTGTTTACAGGGGTAAAAAGTATACATGTATTCATATATGAAAGACCTTTTATAGTATTTCAATGAGCATTGGCAGGAGAACATTACATTTTATAGTTTATTCTTAACACAGGAATAGATTAATGCTGCGTGTGTGTATCTGTGGTACTAAAAGGATAGAATCGATTCTATGTGCACGTTTTGGACAAACTTCATTTTGATAATGTTTTAAGAGAGTCTAGTCAAACACCAACTTTAATATTGGATACATATGTGTCACATAAGGACATCCCTAATTTAAGCATCCCTGGAGCAACACAAAATAATACAAAATATAAAAGATCCAGCTGGTAGGTAAGCGCAGTTTATCACGATTCTAATATTCAAATGTAAATAGGTTCAAATGATGGTATTAATTATTTTGAGACTTCTTTCTAGACGATATCATATCCACAAAGTATGAACCGGTAAAATGTTTAGTTTCCGAAGACTGCTACATTATCATTAAAATGCGTCCACTCGGCATGTTCATGTTTACATAAACTATTTATTTGATTGGGTTATAATGTGTAAACATTAATTTGTTTAAAGAACAAGTTTTGTAACTTCAACCGGGTTAGTAACGCAGCAACTTATGCACATAATATATAATAGTAGTTGGATGACTTCCTTTCCAATGAAGGAGGGAATGTAGTCTTTTTCAACTTGCTTCAAATTGACCAATTTGTTTTTTCAAAATCATCTTGACAAGTTCTCAAAAATTCAAATCCAGCTTAAGCTTGAACTCATAAAATAGTGAGCAACTAGGTGGTGACATTTTGCTGGGATCTGCTATTCTCTGCAAAACAAAGGCGTGCGTAATGCATTACGGGTATTTTACCTCTATGTGATATTCAGGTCTTTGAGATATATCGATTGTATAATTAAAATTGCCAATTAATTAAAGGCTCCATGCAACTTTTGAAATGAAGAATCAAAGTTCATTAAACATTCTTCTTTAGAGTGCAAAACACACCATCTTTTAACACCAATGCGTAGATTGAAAAGAACAAACTATTTCTATGCTGGTGTACATTTATATGTTTTATGTTATCACTTGCATGTGGTTACGAAAGCTTTGTTGCACAACACAACAAATCCTTTGGGTTTGGGTCAATAAATTTGTTTATATAATTAACTAAGTCATTACATAATATTGTGCAAGTTTGTGAATAATTTCGAAGGGTGGATGGTTGGGGAATGGAATGGTTTTGATGCTGGGTTCTGTAACACCTTTCCCCTTTGGCACTTGTGCTTACACATGTATCAATAAAAATGTGATATTTAATGTGCCAATTGAGCATATTAAGAGTGCACACTAAGTGACGCCACCGTGATGTGTCACAAAAAGTGCAAAAAGGTTTTGAAAATAACAAAAAAAGATTTTCTGCCAATTTGATTGCTCAACGAGGTTGAAAAGAAAAGTATATTATGTTCTAATGTTTTTTGTTTCTATGAGAGCACACACAAAACATACGTTGAGTGAACAGTGTAATTACAAACAACAGGCTTTAGAATACAAAGCGTAGTGTGATAATAAGCTGCACACTACCACTGCTGCATGTACATATTACTAATTTACTAGGGCTCCCAAAGAGTGGATAGGGAGGTTGTGTTTGTCACTTTTAAATTTTACATTTCTGGTTTCATTCGTTTAGCCAATCAAAACATTGGAAAACAATAAATTGTCTGTTATGTACAATCAATTTTGTTCAGTTTTGATTTGTTGTCAGAATAAAGTTACGTTCATCTGAATCCATGTATCAAAACAAAAACCCTATTTTCACTTCAAAATACTTCAGTGAGATGAAGGCTCGGAATTGTCACAGGCAATAACTTATTGTCGTATTCGTTATTTTATCTTCTCGATAGTAGCATTTAGTCGCACATTTGATGCCAGGTCACCTTGTCGCGTACCTCTTGGGGAACCCCACATTTATGTGTGTACTCATGGAAGTAAATTCCCCGGTGTAGCTGAGAGCCACAAACTTTTCAACAGGTTCGAAATGACCGATTTCTCTCATATATACTCTAAATATTTTATTATTTAGCACCTACAAAGTATTGCTAATAACCATATGTAATTTCAATAAGGAAACTTATCTGGCTACATATAAATTCAATATCAACACTAGCTCTTCTCTCAACACGTCCTGGCTTACCTTGTGGTGACAAACCCTGGATTTTCGCTATTTATAGTTTATCAACACCTGGACGCATGCGCATTTTATACTTTATCGGGCACTTTAAAGTTTAAAACGCATTTTTCTCTCTCTCATTTTTGACAACAACCTCTTAAATAAATTTCTAAATAGCTTCACGATTTTTCAAACGTTTTGGTGAAAATATAGGCCAAAGTGGTTTAAACTTCACATAGAGCCTTTAAGAGAGGTGTGCATCGTTGCCATCCCCATTTCATTCAAAGTAACCCGTTTTGAATGGATGTGTCACATAAGTGCCGTCAGCTAATATGGACACCTAGATGATTCGAATCTCGTGCCATTAGGATCTGTCGGTAATGTTAACTTTGACAAGTATTTTCTATTTGTTTGTGATGTTCATTTGTTTGTATCGTTTTAAGGCATGGTGATTAAGGCATGGTGATTTATTATTATCGGAAAGATATTTCAATTATAAATGGTTGCCATTGCCTTTGATGTCCCATGTCAGAAACTGCTTTATACAATATCATAAAAGGGGAGTTTCAGAAAGCATTTTCCTGCCCGAACTAGAAGCCCGTTTTTTATGAGAATCGCATTTTCTCCAGTGAAGGATGAGTGTAAATTAAACCATTTATCATATAACCCTTACAAAATCTTGGTTTTTACTCGGGCGAAATATTAAATGGAATTGCTAGATTTATTTTTAATAAAAACTGACTTCACCTTGCTAACGTGTAGAAAAGCACAGTAGACATATATACTAGTGTTTAAACTGCTTCTTTATTCTGTACATTAATATTCCATAAATACCAAATAAAACAAACAATTTACCAAACCTTTACCCAATCTATCGAATGTTTTTTTATTTTATCAAATGTAATAATCTATACAATTTATATTCGCTAAATAGTTTCACTTGTTCTTTGTATTGACATTCACATTTGATATTTATACATGTATTTATGTGATGCAGCGAATCAATTTGTTTTCCTTAACGCACGTATAATTCAATTAATTATTTGTACATTCGGTATTTAAATTATTTATATTCGGTAAATACCGAATGCCACATTCGATAAATTTCGTTATTTTTCGATAATTTACGAGACTTTCAGTCACGTGATATATTTGTACTATGTAGAATAGCTGCGCGGCCATTTTGCAAATCTCGAAGTCACGTGACAAAATATCGAACAACAACGCAAGTTATCGAATATTACTTTATTGCATTCGGTAAATAGCAAATTAGCTTTCGGTAAAATGCATTAACTATGTCATAGAAAAATAAACCATTTGGTAAATATAGGCAAACTTATTTCGGTAGGGTTCAAATAGAAATTCCATATTGTGCATATAATATGTTACTCTTAAGGAATACCATAACAATCTACGCAAAAAATATCATTTAACGAATGAAATATGTAATTTAATGCACATAGTATTAAGTGATTGGCTATTTTGAAAACTTAATTTGCTGTAACAAACAAATAAACGTTTTTACCGAATGGAAAAATGATTTAGCGAATATAAATATTTCATATATCGAATATATTTGAATTTAATGAATAAAGAAGCAAAAATAATGCCATAGACATATTCAGTTGAAGGAATCATGTCCTAAATGATGGTCTATGATATAAAAAGCCAAAAAAGAAAAGAAGTCCTATTCTCATAAGGTTCTTGGATATTAAGTTATCAAAATTTACCTTTTCAAGAAAAAATTGTTAGCAACCATCTCGAAAAATTCTTCTTGTGTCCCTGAAGTACCAGATATGTCAACTGGAACGTCTGGTATGACATTTTTGCGCCTACTGACAGCAATTCCGATTTGAGAGGCCATTCTAGAAATTTATTCTCGAGCACATACGAGTATAAATCCGTAAACAGGTTAGTATTTTTAGTATGAAATGATGAACGGACGGACAGATTGCTTCTCTATATTCCTATTTGAACTTCGGTGGAATGTTAGTTAAAAGAGTTGATCCATCGCTGTTTCAAATTTTTTATATCGAAGTTTGAAACGGTTGTGTCACACAAATTATAAATAATTATATGGGACCGCTTTAATTCTGTCGGCGATGTTACCTTCGATGAGTCTTCTATTCGCCACGGATGTACATCTAGGTTTATGAATGCCTTTTAGTGAATAGTACTTTAGTACAGGGACTGTATATAGTGGTCCAATGCGACATTTCTCGTCGTTTCTCATCATATTATCATATTGTTTATTCTCTACTCATAAGCTTTATGTTTGCATTTGCAGATTTATTAGCGAATCTGAAATGAGGAAGTTAACAGGATGCGAGGGATTTATCTTGGGAATATTTGTACTCTTAGCAATAGGTGTAATCGTACTTGCGGCATTCTTATCACTTGGTTACCTATATAGAACAGGTAAATATAAAGTAGTTATTCACCAGGAGTGATTTTATATGGAGAATATTACAAGGATGATATCAATATTAACCGAGGAATATTACCCAAATCATCCCGACAAGTGGATAACGACCTTTTACCATGGTCAAGAGCAATATCTGTATGCTCTGACAATGGTATGAAGCTCAGTATATATATATCATAAACGAAGCATTATCTGAACTACCATATTTATGGTGGTTCCAACTTCTAACTATGACCACAATTTTGATTTTTGTTACACATAGATTGACAAAATGTCACAGCATTGCCCTGAAATTGCAAACATTTCCTTTCAAACAATCCGATAATTTTGTTAATGCAGAATTCCTCCAAAGTTGATAGTCGTGATTCTTAAACTTGACTCTTAAGGTAAAGTCCCAACAAATTAAAGAATATTATGCATTGTCTATATCACCTCAAAAATGTCGCAAGCATGCACATACATGACATTATGATTGTAGAATGTGACCATAGTCCCTGTGGCGTTCATGGTACATGTGAAGTTAAGCAAGGAAATGGAAGAAATTTTCCTGTCTGCAATTGTGAAAAAGGCTACCAAGGTCATACATGTGAAGGTAAGTTGATTTGTATATGCTTCTTGATCAGTTGCTTTCCCTTTTCCGTAATGCAACTACATTTTACTATTTCGCCTAATTAACCTTACCTTTCGCCGAGAGGGTTATTTTTCAAGGGAACAATGACTTAAGTTACCCCATCTATATTTGTCTATCAGTTAGTACTGCTGCATTGAACTATCTCTAACAAGTTAAAATGCAGATTTTGTCATCTAACTTAATATTCTAACGTCATTGCAAAAATATTCTGATTTAAAGAATGTTTGAATTGAAAAATGTAAATATACCACAGCAATGCCATAAGGACAAATCCATGATAGAAGGACTATAGAAGGAACACACTGGTTTGAATCCGTAATAGCTATCATGGATCCCAATTCCTAATAAACAACGCAACTTTATTCCATTATACATTTATTCATAATAGTACTACCTACAGATTAATACCCCTGATTTCGAGTCTAGAAAAGATAGATAAACAAGCCCTGCTTCAATGAAGTGGAATTTTTACACAATGTAAAACATCATCCCCTCATTTTACTCATGGATGCTGGACAAATTATCTAAAAATCAAAAGTATATCGTGAAATAAATACACATCGATCACAATAGGATGAACAAGAATACATTCAATAGAATAAAATGGAAAGTGAAACCTTTGACCTCTATGATAATCTCCATGTGTCCATTGAAACACCTGGCCACATTAATAGGTTGTAAATATCTTCATCGCAAAATAAGAGATGTAATTGATTAAAATCATGGTAAATATGAGAACTATGAATACATTTCTAAAAAAGATTCAATAGCCTTATTAGTTTATATTTTCAGATTCAAATCTTGCAGAAGCATCGCGTATAAGCGGCGTTTCATTTCTAATCTTTGTCTCTGTCATTTTCCAAGGGATGCTATATTTTTGGTACAAATCGCAAAAACGCTTAAATGCATGGACAATAGAAATAAACTAGACTTTTGAAGATTGCAAGCAATCTCACGGAGGCCCTCTTAGGCATTTTTGACAATTTGAAGGTCAACTAAAGGACAAATATCAAATCTGAGGTCAGATGTGAACTCCTGAGAACTTGAAGATGATTTTCAAAAAACGATTTTGTCAATTTGAAGCGAGTTTAAATTTGACCTTGAAATATTTCGAAATTGACCTTTTTTCAGCTTTTGAACTCTTATATCTCAAACTGGGACAAAATTCCATTAGAAAGTCAATTGCTAATATGTGTAGAACCCTTAGAGGAATGTGTATATTTCTACTTCGGATTAAAAATATCGGTTTGTAGTCTCGAACTTTGCGAAACTTAGATAGCACAGTTTGTGACCTAATTTCATGATCTTGACCTTTGACCCTGAAAAGTTTTACTTTTTTAGACCTCAGTAGGTCTTTTGTAACTAGATAACGGCAACTCCGCGGAGTAGCAAATCCCAACGAACAAAATATCAATTACCGAATTCCAATCAAATATACTCATTACTTTCGTTGAAAATGAAAAAATTAGATTTTAGAATTGCAAATTCCTGCAAAGCAGCCATTTTGAATTTTCTCAGGTACAAATCTGAAAAATAATACCATTATTGTGATCTACTCCAAAATTCCTTCAATTTGAGTATAATATAGCCATACTTTGAAGGGATCGAAAAATTATTGCGAAATCGTACATTAGACAGCCATTTTGAATTTTACGAGGCTCGAATCAGAAAAAAGATAAAAATATTTGCAATCTACTCTTAATTGCCTTTCATTTGAGTATAATAAAGCTATACTTCAGAAAGATCTAAAAATAAGCGAAAATTTCTGTTTTCCTGTCCCCCCATACATGGCCCCTGGGGGTCAGGATGAAAAACACGGAATATATGTGAAATAGATAAATGTTGTGAATACACTACCAAAATTTCAAACAATAATATTAATTACTTTGGTTTAGAATGAAAAAATTATAATTTTTGCGAAAAAGTCCCGTCATTTTTAAAGCGGCGGCCATCTTGAAAAATTTTTTTTTTGCCTAAAACTATTCACCAATATACATCTTTCCACTAAATATGAAGAAAATCTGTCAACTAGTATTTGAGTTATCTTCCGGACAGACGGACGGACGGACGTACCGACGAGAGGTAAATGTGGGACAATCATGATATGGGGTCATTGTTTTGATTGTGGGTTCTTGTAAAATTGGACCCATAGACTTTGCACTATAACTGACCCCATAATATAGTTCCATCAGAAAGAAGTTCCAGCAAAATTGCAAATGGTGGGCTTTTTATAATTAAAGATTATAGATTGGATTTTAAAAATAGCCAGCATTTTGAAAAAAATCGTTGTTGCATATTTCTATGAATTATTAACAAAATCCATCAAATGATTCTCAAGTTATGGCCTGAAACGAGAAAAAAATCGCGTAAATCGCTGTCATTTTTAAAATAGCAACCATTTTGAAAAATCACCCTCAAGCAGAGGTGGTATTATCATTAGATATAATCTCACAAAATATAGAAATACGAATCATCCTTCACAAATTAGTACAAGGCATTAACATGACAAAATGTCACCACCTAAAACAATTTGGTCAATTTAAAGCAAGTTGGAAAATACCTTTTGACCTTGAGAAGGTCATTGAAGGTCATTGGAGGTCAAATCTAAAGTCAGATTTGAACTTCTGAGAACTTGTAAAGTCAAATTTGAACTTCTGAAAAGATGTAGATGATTTTGAAAAAAAAATTTGGTCAATTTGAAGCAAGTTGAAAACAGACCTTTTTTGACCTTGAGAAGGTCATTAAAGGTCAAATGTCAAATCTAAAGTCAGATTTGAATTTCTGAGAACATGTAGATGATTTTGAAAAAAAAATAAGTCAATTTGAAGCAAGTTGAAAAAGACCTTTTTGACCTTTTTTGACCTTGAGAAGGTCATTGAAGGTCAAATGTCAAATCTAAAGTCATATTTGAATTTCTGAGAACATGTAGATGATTTTGAAAAAAAAATTTAGTCAATTTGAAGCAAGTTGAAAAAAGACCTTTTTGACCTTTTTTGACTTTGAGAAGGTCATTGAAGGTCAAATGTCAAATCTTAAGTCAAATCTAAAGTCAGATTTGAATTTCTGAGAACACGTAGATGATTTTGAAAAAATTTTTTAGTCAATTTGAAGCAAGTTGAAAACAGACCTTTTTGACCTTTTTTGACCTTGAGAAGGTCAAATGTCAAATCTGAAGTCAGATTTGAATTTCTGAGAACACGTAGATTATTTTGAAAAAAAAATTTAGTCAATTTGAAGCAATTTGAAAACAGACCTTTTTGACCTTTTTTGACCTTGAGAAGGTCATTGAAGGTCAAATGTCAAATCTTAAGTCAGATTTGAAGGTGAAATGTCAAATCTAAAGTCAGATTTGAATTTCTGAGAACATGTAGATGATTTTGAAAAAAAAATTAGTCAATGTGAAGCAAGTTGAAAAAAGACCTTTTTGACCTTGAGAAGGTCATTGAAGGTCAAATCTAAAGTCAGATTTGAACTTCTGAGAACATGTAGATGATTTAGAAAAAAATTGAAGTCAGTCTAAACAGTATTTGTTAAGTTATAGGAAGTTGTAAGAAATTGTTACAGACGCCGGATGCCAACCTCCAACCACCAACCGCCGTCGCAAAAAAATGTAGACCATAACAATATGTCACCACTTTTGGTGGTGACATAAAAATGCAAATCA